CCCTCAGGACAACACAGTGGACGTAGTACCTACCAACTGGCTTGAAAAAGCAAAACAGGTACAATGGATTGAAAGTTAAACATGCAGCTTCAAAGGTCTCTACACAATTCTAATTTTCTAAAAAGAAATTAAACATTAAATACTTTTTAACCTCAAATTCTCGTGTTGCCTAGCTCTGTGTTGGGCATGCGTACTCTGTGCACTCCGGGTCAAAACCGGAAAAACTTCCATCTCCGTTAAGCACCATTGAAGTCCACTATATGGAGAAAAATCCTGGAATGTTTTCCTTAAAAAAACTTAATTTCTTTGCGACTCAAGAATGAAAGACATGAATCTTTAATGACACAGGGGTGAGTAAATTATCAGAAAATGTTTATTCTGGAAGTGGAATCCTTTAATACTGTTCTCTTTCTGGTGAAAACAAGCTACCATGTCTTTTCCAGATAGCTATGAGGAAGCCAGACTGAAGGCCAACCAGGCTACAGTGACATCAAACCTGGAGAGTGATGAGGAACCTCCACGGAGAACAGTACGACCTCCAGCTAGATACAGGAGACAGCTGGATAGTGGTAAATACTTTTTCTGAAAATTTGATATACTAATATATAGGGCTGCAACAACTGGTCAATAAAATAAATAATAATCAATAATGAAGTCGCGTCTGCCCACCGTGCACAGAAAACTTCAGTTTTTGTTTGATGCAACTTCTTTAGTTGCATCAAATTATACCACTGAATAACACATTTCTATGGGCAAAATGAATCTAATATTGGAAGAAACTGAGTGAGCTGCTTTGGGAAAGGTGTGTGATCCAAGCTGCCCAAAACATGTGAATGCTTCATTTTTAACTAGAGATAATGCATTAGCATAAATGTTTTGCCTCGTCCTGTTACATATTCTTGTTTCTATTTTGCATGGAGGCTTGTTCTGACACTTAAAAATTTAATGAACGAACTTCAAACAGGTGCAAGTGATCTAATGTTTATAGGAGACCAAGCTTTAAAAATTGTTTTTGTTCATTTATTAACAGTTATTTGAGAATTGGCTTACTAGTCATATGGAGTGTGGCGTCCTGGCGTTTTTAGCATTTAGTTGTCTGTTTGAAGGGCAGCATTGGGCAGCATGTGGAATAGTGTATTTTGTCTAAAAAAATAATGATTTGAGCTCAATTGAAATTATGTGAAAATATATCTATGCTGAACTTGTACTCTAACATACGGTGACCGGGAGGGAACACCTTCGGTTCACTTAAGTTTGTCGTGGCCACGAGATAGAAACTCGTGGGAACGTCATTATGTCGTGGCCACGAGATCATTTTGTCGAGGGAACGACATCCTTATGTCGTGGCCACGAGATGTGAAGTCCTGGGAACTTCTTAGTAACTCGTGGGAACGTAATGTTATGTCGTGGCCACGAGATCATTTTGTCGAGGGAACGACATCCATTTCTCGAGGCCACGAGTTTTATATTGAAGGAACAACTTTTTTAAATGAACACACTGACTGTGACCATACGTACGGTAACAACAGCGGTCGAGATGAGATGTAAATATGGAGATGATTGATGAAATAACGTTTTACTTTAAATTAGGAATGTCATATAAAGACATAGTGCGGTCTCTTGCATTGAACCACGGGTACGTTATTAGTCAAAGGCACCTTAAGCGCATTCTTAAGTTTAACGGGCTTTGCCGTCGGAAATTTGCTGGCTTGAATGAAGTACTGGAATTCATCATTGACCAGTTGAACGGTCCTGGACGCCTCCACGGAAAAATGCCTGGAAAATGGTATAAGTGTACGAAAAGAGGATGTTCGAATCATTCTGAAAGAGCTGGATCCAGAAAGTGTATCACTTCGTCGTAAACGCCGACTTCATCGTCGGCTATATTTTTCTCAAGGTCCCAATTATATTTGGCACGTAGATTCGTATGATAAACTGACACCATATGGAATCTGTATCAACGGGTGCATAGACGGATTTTCTCGACGAATTATCTGGCTCAAGGCAGCACATACAAACAGCAACCCTGAAGTCATTGCTGGTTACTTCGTGGAGAGTGTTCTGCAAACTGGGGGATGTCCACGAATTGTGAGATGCGACCTGGGAATGTGATAATGCGTGACATCCAGGTGTTCTTCAGATGAAACGATGGTGATGAGCGGGCAGGGCCCCGCAGCTGCATCACTGGTCTCAGTTCAGCAAACCAAAGAATCGAAAGTTGGTGGGGACAGATGCGCAAAGAAGGGATTGAATTCTGGATACAGTTTTTTGGAGAGCTGAAAGACGAGGGACTGTTTTCTGGGGATTTTCTGGATAAAGCTTTGATTCAGCTGTGCTTTCGAAATATTATTCAGGTAAGCCAAATGGTATTGGTATATAATGCATTAACTCGCATATTTACATTCGTCAGTCCCCATGATTTATTTGTTGATTTATTAATTAAACATATATTTAAAGTGTGTGTTTTTACTAGTAAAATTTTAATTATAGAGCTCTGTAATTGCATTTTTACTAGTAATAATTAAATTAGAGAGCTCTACTCGGAATTGTTACAAGTAAAACTGAATTAGAGAGCTCTCTAATTGGAATTATTACTAGTAAATATTGATTTAGAGAGCTCTCTAATTGTAATTGTTACCAGTAAGAATTCAATTGTAGAGCTTTGTAATTGAAATTCCTACTAGTAAAAATAATGTTGTAGAGCTCTGCAATTAAAAATGAATGGAAGTCAGTGGAGACATATGACTAGTAAAAATTCATTTGTAGAGCTCTCTAATTGGAATTGTTACTAGTAAGAATTCAATTGTAGAGGTCTTTAATTATCATTGTTACTAGAAAGAATTTAATTAAAGAGCTCTGTAATTTTATACAGAAGTTAAACAGACAAAAAAGTGAGTTACACTTTGAACACATTTTGTCTTTTTTCTTGTTTTACAAATTAAGTAGTTAAAAAAGCTGGAGCAGAGCTGCTGTTTATTTCAGAGCAACACTACTATGTTTCTTTCCTGAATTAAACTGTTTTTGAATTAATCCAGTTAGCATTTGTGTTTGTGCATACAAAAAATACCTTAAAACTTTTGACATTGTGGGAAAACGGCTCATAAACAATTTCCTTTAATATAGCTTATTTTTTAAGTAAAAATGTCAAAAGACAAAATTATACACTGAAATTATTCGCAATCATTACAATTCGATAACTGTCAAGTTATCACAAAAAATACAAATATATAGTCATAAACATCAAAGAATCAATTTTGTTATTTGTCTTACTTAAACAACTGTTGTCTGTTTTTGTTTTATTTCAGGAGTAATTGAATGAGATTGCTACTGTGTGGAATGCACACCGGATTCGACCTTCAGACAACTGCAGTGCTCCTTGCGGGATCCCAAATGTCATGTTCATGGCACCTCAATTGTGGGGTACAGAAGACTTCATTGTAGAGCAGAACAGTGAAGATCTACAAACAGCCCACGAGGCGTGCATGTTCCTGACAGCAGTGCCTTGTGATGAAGAGGTGTTCGATCTGTGTACAATCCTCATGGAGGAGCAGCAGTTAACCTTTACCAAAGACAGACTTGAAGCATTAGAGGTATATCTTGAACTCAGAAATGCAATCCGTTCCCAGATAACAGAACAACAGCCTTAAATTGATTGGACAGTCACGGTATTAAAATTTGCAATTTGTCTAGCAGTTTTAAAATGATCCATTATCTTACATTTTACTCAGTGGCTTTATCACAAAATAAATGTAATTGCTTATGCAAACTAAAATCACTCATGTAATTATAAATTATAAATGAAACCAGTTTTGAATTTGTTCAGCGGCAGGCATGCGGTATTAAATATCAAAGTTTTTCCAAATCAGTCACCATTTACTTACCCTCCACTTGTTTGAAACATGTATGAGTTTTTTTTCTTCTGTTAAACACAAAAAACAAGCATATTTTGAAAAATGTTGGTAAGCAGGTCAGGAAGCAAGAGTTCATGTCCCCTTAGACTTCCTTACAGGAAAAGAAATACAGAAATAGTATACAAGTCAATAGGGACAAACGAAATAATCTCATACAGGTTTAGCACAAGTGGAGGGTAAGCAAACTGATGACAGAATTTTCATTTTTTTCATTCTAAATACTCCAAATAGTCTTACATAATTCTACATACGTTATTCTACATGTTCTCATTCATTTTCTTTAAAATTGAGTGTGACTGAATCAAATAAAGGAGTCAATAAAAGAATGTGTGAATGCTTTATACTTAAGTAAACATTTGATTTTTTTTAATACTACATAAACATTTTTAAACATTTCTTAACATTTCTTGAACATCACTTGTTTATGTCAGTTGTTGTGACATAAAAACATAGTTTTCCCAAACTTTGAAAGCATACATAACTACTATAAACATTTCTTAGCCATAGTTAACATGTTTTTTTACTGATCCTGAGATATTTTTGTTTCATTGTACAAAGGCAAGTTTAGCAGTAATCAAACTTAAAGCAAAGCTCTCTGGGAAAAACTTTCTGAAATGAAATCTCACAATAACTAAGGGAATTTGTAAAGACTGTGTTAAAGGTACTCTGTTTACATTACGTTCTGCTTAAATTAAATGCCCTGATTAAACTGTATTTGTTCTGTATGGCTTAGCACTACAAAATACTTTTTTGCAACTCCAGCAGTTAACTAAGAGCAATATCATTTGGTCCTGAAATGCTTTTTTTTTCACAGGATATTTTAGTATAGGCAATAGCACACCTATTTGTTTTAAATGTAATAATGTGTTGTCTACCAATCCTAAGAGTAAATAATAATATACAAATAATAATAAATAATAATAAACAATAAATAACAAATAAATAATAATAAACAAATCTCTTTTTTTAAATGTCACCCATCTTCTGTGTGGTTAACTTAATACTACTTAAACTTCACAGATACTTAAATACGCTTCTCATTATATACATTATACATTATATATATATATATATATAATGAGAAGCGTATTTAATCACCCTAAACATAGTAACCTGTTCCAACAATGGAAACAACTATCCATTTTCAGTCCAAATTACACCATGGTTTGTGAACATCCATCGGTTGAGTCACTATAGATAAAAGTGGTGTCTGAAAGGCCGAATCCTATTCCAGCTACTGCATGACAACCTGAAAAAGCAATAAACAAGACAACTATAAAAACATTATATACAATTTACAAAGAAACATGAATTTACATATATACACTGCCCTCCAAAAGTTTGGAAACACCCCTGGCAAAGTGTGGTTTGAGAATCATCAAGTATAGTGTGAATCATCTTTGGGCAATCCTTCAGGATGCTTGGAGTTATATATCAAGTCAATGTTTGAATAAACTGACAGCTTGGATGCCTAGATTATGCAGAGCTGTAATAGATATTTTGATGAATCAAAAATTTAAGTATTTTCTATGTATAAACTGTTTATGTAATAAAATATGTTTTCAATGTTTGTGTTGTCCCTTATCAGTGCAAGATTATCACAATTATTTAAAAAGGATTCATGCCAATATTGTTCAAAACTTTTCTAGGGCGTTTCAGAACTTTTGGAGGGCAGTGTAAACAATAAATTATTTGCATATATAATTATACAAATTAATATGTATTTTTTTATTAATATTAGTTGATACTGAACAAATAGAAGCAATGCTTCATGAAAATCATGATGTAACTCATCAACTTTGTATAACAGGGTGGAAAACTGATAAATTTGCTGCATTTGTACATGAAAATATGTACTATTATTTATTTCAGTACTCACCAGTACAAAAATTATAGAACATCCATCACCCAAACTGAACTGCTGAAAAGAACAGCATTGAAGTCACTGTGGAGGTCTGGGTAGTTCTGGTAGATTAAGTAAGGAATAATTGACGACGGGCCGTTGAATTATTAGAAAAATAATGCACACCCGAGGTGGTAATGCGGCCACGACGCGAAGCGTCGGGTGTGCATTATTTTTCTAATAATTCAACGGTCCGGAGTCAATTATTCCGCTTATACTACGGTTG